CCAACTCGATAATGTCCTGAGCCCGCCACAGCCTCTGTGCTTCCCCAGGGAGCTGGCTCGCGGGCTGCAGTGAGACCTGCTGAGGTCCCGGTTCAGAGCTTTCCTATCATCCAGGTGCAGGGACGGCACTAGGGGGGAAGCCTTGGGAGGGCACCCCAAAATTTGCCTTAGCCCCTTGTAGTCACCTTCCTAGCACTGCCACCTCCTGCCCACCCCACAAAACTGAGCCCGCAAACATGCAGCACTCCAGGCAGGGGTGGCACCAGCCTCTTCCCAGTGAGGGGGGCTGGGCTCGGGGCTGGCAGGAGCAGGGAAGGCAGGCAGCTGTGGCAGTGCTGGGAGGGATGGAGCCTCCCGGCCCCGCTGAGCCCAGGCCCAGCCTAGCTTCCCCACTGAGAAGAGGCTAGCCCCACCCCTGCTCCAGAACCCCAGCATCAGCTCCATATAGCCGGTGGGTGCACATGCACCTCAGAGCAGACAGTAGGAGGGGGGCCTGAGGCAGCACAACCCCAGCCTGACCCCCACCCCGACCCCCGCTGTATGCTGGGGCTCCTGCAAGCTGTGTGCAGTCTATGGGCCACAGCTGACCCAGGGTCTGAGTAGCTGCTGCCAGCCATGGAGCCCGGTCTGCTTGCAGCAGGGCCTGCAGCCTCCCAGCTGCCTGCTGGAAACAACAACCAGGGATGGCAACAGCTGCCCAGCAAAATGGCCTCATGTGCCATGCTCTGGTATGTGCCAGGGGTTGCTGACCCCTGGTTACACAGATACCCTGAAGAGATTTTCGTAAAAGCAATCATTTAAAAAAAACACAAAAAACAAAATTCCCAGTGTACCACAAGCGTACAAAACAGAATTTAGAAACAAAATTTTAGATTTGGCCCCCCACACTCTTTCTGTCTCTCAGAAATGCAATAATAGTCCTTGCCATCTGCTGCTGTATATTTTTCATGGGTTTTAACATTTTGCTTTTAAAATCTAAATGATGAGTAAAATGTCAAGTCACCCAGAAAATAATCATAGGCATGCTAATCCAAATGTTATCTCAGTTTGTCTGCATAGAAAATAGTTCACAGTAGGTCTGTACTCTCCTGCTTTAGAGACAGAACAGGTAGCATGTGGGTAGGCACATGTAAGCATGGTTGACTTTATCTGCTAAATTTCCAAAAGAATATGCAGGCTTTTAGCAGCGTGACTGCTGTAGATTTTAATGAGCATCACATGCCTAAGCTCCACACTAAATCTTTCAAAATTTACTCTGTAAGGGACAAGCTTCAAATTTTTTTGGAGATTAATAAATGCTTCTACTTCTAATAAATGTGGGAAAAAAATCAGTTAGGATCAACAACAAATCATTTTGTCATGCTTTCTAGCCTAAATGAAATTGAACTAAAGGACTCACCATTATAAATGCATGAAGGTGAAAAAAACCCTCTTCCTTCCATTTACTTTCAACCATAGAAGGAAGCAAAAAAACCCTCTTCCTTCCATAGACTAAAAATCAATTGTCAAGTTATCACAGAGATATCATGCAGTCTCTCCCTCTCTCTCTTTTCATTTTCAAATACTTTGAATGGTGACTCTCATATCCATGATGCAGTGACTTTGACATATCAGAAAAGTACAATGAAGAATTTCTGCAAAGGTCTCTTTCTCTCCAGCATTGCTACAGTTTTCTTCTTCCTCTTTTTCTTTTGATATTCCATCAGTTAGAAACTATAGTGGAGATGATAGATTCAGAGGTAGGTAGAATATTCCCAGCAGGATACAGATAAGGCCTTTAGCTACAGCACATTACTACAATTTAAAGATGGACACCACCACAATGAAAGTAACATATAGAAGCTGTTTCTGGGGTGTTGGTTGGAGCCGTGTTGGTCTAAGGACATATGCAGACAAGGTTCTTTGGGTAGATGTGATGTCTTTTATTAGACCAACTAAATAGTTGGAAAAAATGGTTTTTGCCAGCTTTTGGGTACAAACACCCTTTTTCAGGCAGAGGGAAAAAGGTGTTTGGACCTGAAAGCTTGCAAAGAACAATTTTGCCAACTATTTAGTTGATCTAATAAAAGATACCATATTTACCCAAAAATCTTGTCTACACGTAGAAAGTGTCATACAGAAAGTTATCAGACACCAGAGACAATATTCCACAGAGAACGTTTATGTTGTCGCAGATGGATGCAGTAAAGAACATAAATGTTGTGTGTAATAAAACTTATTCAAGTTACAGTGTTTTGAAGCTGTTCATTTAAGGATGACTGCACTTCATCTAGCAGCTGGAGCAGAATGCATATTTAAGTGGATGCAAATTTTTCCCTTAAACTTCTGTTTCAGATATGTCGCAAAAAGATGTCTGGTATCTATATCCATGAGGATTGTCATTGTGTTGTTTTATGTTTTTTCTTCTGGGTGTTTTTCATCTATATAAGTAAGCAATATATATATTGCTTACAAGGTTCTTTGGGTAGATGTGATCTCTTTTATTAGACCAACTAAATAGCTGGAAAAGAATGTTCTTTGCAAGCTTTCAGGCACAAACACCGTTCTTCAGGCATATAGAGAGTCTGCTGATGAATTGTGTGCTCTCCTGGGTAGAATAGAAGCCAAAATACCAAATGGAGGTCTGTGAAAATGCAAATGTGTGGCAGTGAGGGTCTGAGGGATGGGAGACAATAGATGTGCTATACTTCTCAATTTACAATCTGGTGCCCTTAGTGTTTTGCTTTTAAAAGCTTGCATTTTTAAATAAATTAATAACAGAAAAGAGAGTTAAGAAAGGTGTACATTTTAAAAGACTCAAATCATTAACATTTCGAATGAGATTTTCAAAGGCACAAATGGGAGTTAAGTCATTGAATTTCAAGAAAAGTTCTGTGCCTGCTTGCTCTTTGTATGTGGAAAATCTTCAGTAATTTTCCTATTATTCCCGTTGTGATTTTAAATGCATTCACTTTTCCTTAACATACTATTGTTGTTAATTTCTGAAATAAGCAATAAGGACAACATTAAAAGACATCTTTGTGGAATGTCTTTTTGCCTATGTCATTTTTGAAGACTCTTGTGATGACCTGCAATACACCAACTTTATTTTCTTTCAGCCATGTGGTTTCAGGGCTGTTGCTGCTTACTAGACTCAGTGTGTATGTGTGCATGAGTATGTATGTATGCTATGTATAGGTATAAAATAACTATACATTTTATCTTAGGTAGCTATAAACCATGCCTCTAACAAATACCTGAAGACTTCACAAATAGACAGTAGTGTCTAGTTCAGCAGAACCTGTAGAGCAATAGTCATACACTGTGCTCTTCCAGGGAGATCTTACCTTTTTTGTTTGTTTGGGAGGGGGTTGTTTTTTTGTTCTTTGGTTTTGGTTTTAGGCTTTTTTGGCTTTTTAATCAGAAGTAAAAGTTTGGGGGAGGGGGGGTTGTAAAGCAAAAAAACAAAACTAACATAATTGTGTTGTTCCATTTTACAGTCTCGGTGCTTGGGAGTCATCTGAAATACTTTGTAACTCTTTGGAGTAACAGAAGATAAACAGTGTAGAAATATGAAGAATTAAGATGTATTTGATTAATAATAACTGCCCATTTCTTTCTTTGCATGATGCTTTTCTGTTCGTACTAATTTAATGGAAGTACACTCATGCTAACAGTCAGTAAGCTAACTGCTTATGCGAGACTTTGTGCAGAGACATCAGCAGAGCCTTGGAATATAAGAATTGCTGTTTACTGGGACATACCATAAGTCCGTTTTGCCCAGTATCCTGTGTCACACAGTGGTAGAAAGTGAATTCTGAAAGGGAGAATGAACTGAGAATGATCAGGGCTTTTTCCACTGTTCCTCTTTCACTTGTAGCCTCCAGCAGTTAGGCTAAATACAGAAGTCAAAAAGCCAGAGGCTGAATCGGTTCAATCTTTGCAATCGGTTTAATCTAAGCTGCATAGATTTAACTGGGAAGCAGGTAAACAGACATTCACTTCTGATTCCAGAAATGTAGCCACTTCTGAGATACTGGCTGCCAGGGGCAGACAGCAGGGGAGTTGAGGGGAGGCCAATCCTTGTTATGGCAGCGCAGCCCTGCCCCTTCCCCACCGCAAAATCCCAGTAATAAAAAAAAACACCACAAAAAAAGTTTAGTTTCTCAACCTGTTGTCCTTTTACACCCTGATCATCTGAAGGCCCAACTGACTCCTTGGCAGGTATTCAGTTTCTTATGTACTTAAAGATATTTTTATTGTTATCTTTTGTGTGTCTACCAAGTTTCTCCTCAAATTATCTCTTATCTTGTCATATTATAGTTTTACATTAGATTGGCCAGTATTTATGCTCTTTTGTTTCCTCATTGGGATTTGATGTCCGCATTTTGAAAGAAGCCTTTTTTCTGCTTAATGCATCTGCAACTCTGCCATTCAACTATGCTGGTTTTCTTTTCGGTTCAAAATAAGTCTCAGTTTTCATCTCAGTTCCTTTTCTGCTCTTAAGCAAATTTGCCAGTAAATTTTAAACAAGAATAAAATATCCTACAAATATACATACATATATATGATGCAAAGAGTATCTAAGAGGGTAGAACTGGGGTGAGTTCAATAGATTAGGACTCAAGAGGCTGGGATCTATGTGAACATGGAACAGCGAACATGGAAAAATCTCTTCTTGTTGTTCCTCCATTTTTCCGACTGTAATATGGGGATAATGATACTAACATCCCATGCAGAGTGCTTTGAAAGCTACAGATAAAACATACCACAGTAATTTTTACTAGGGGAAGTCTAGTTATAAGTTTGACCTCCATGAAATGGCATGTAATTTACTTCAGTGATACATTTGCTCTTTAATCCTTAAGAAGTGAAGACATTTCATATTATTTAGCTCTGATGAGTAAAGATCTCTTTTTATACATGGAAAATGATGAGAATAGTTTATAATTAAAAACACAATCTTTATATTACAGTACTATGTTCTTCTGCATCTGACGCACTTTTTATGTTTATTTCAGGCCCTTCTTGATACTCAGAATCTTTTGCGATCTCAGATTACAAATTTTACTTTCAACCTGGGATTTTCTGGGAAGTTTTACCACACAGGTAAGACTTAAAAATTATAATAATTTATATTTTGGTTATTAGTATTCTTGAAAGTGTAAAGGATATAGAAATGACTGTAATAATACAGTATCGCTTTATTATTCAGAATAAGAAATAGGGAAATGGCCTTATGGTTTGTTTTTTTTTAGAATAAAGTTTTACACATAGTATTTAAATACGTATTTACAGTTTTCCTATATTTTATATTTTTAAAAAAAGATATAATTTATGTAAATTATACTTCATATATTTATACAGTGCTCTGATAGATTAGACACACATTTTAAGCATAGTAAAATATGCTTAAAATGTTCTAAAAATTGTTAAGAATCCATTCAACTTTCATAACTTTATGATTCAGGTATGCATGTAAACTATTCGATCCATTGCCTTCCAATTTATCTGTATTTCTTGATATGTTTTGTAATTTAACAAAGTAATTTCCATAGAAAGCTAGGTAAGTAATATTTTCAGAACTTTACATATGAATGCTTTTGACAAAACCAGAGAGTTAAACCATTTATGGTCACGTTGGTGGATACTCTAAATCAAAGGTAGCCAACCTGCAATATGCATGTCACAAGTGACACAGGCAGTCTCTGTGTGTGGCACATAGCAGACTGGGGAGGGGACAGGCAGCACACTGGCAGATAGAGCAGGAAGCAGAAAGCAGAACAGAAGATGGGGCACAGGTCAGAAAGCAGATTGGAAGACTGGACAAGGGAAGGAGATAGCATGGCATTTGGGGATTGAGGAGGGTGTGGGGATAATTTGTGGCACACCAGCGAAAAGATTGCCCCCTCCTCCCCCCCCCAGATTAACAGCCTGAAAGTGAAAGTTATGAGTATGTTGTGTTACTCAGACACCTTCACTTGTTACTGACTCCAGGGAGTTCAACGCTCCTTGTAGGCTCAAGCCCTGAGGTCCCAGTCTTGCAAAACAAGAGGAGACCATTCTTCCTATAGTCTGGACATTTTTCTATAATTGTGAATAAGCAAAGGCAATGCAGAGAAGATATAATTAAAAAGCAAACTCCAGAGATGTATTAGCACACAGTTGTCACAGTAGTAATGCTTCCTATATATTTCTGTGTTCAGGCACACTGAAATGTCATTCTGTGGTCAATAAATATGCCCTACTGTTTGTACAAGTCAAATCAGTGAACTGGTATATAAGCTTTATGTATCTGTGTTTGCATGTTCCAAAATCACGAGTAGAGTGCATGTATCTCACTTCAGAAAAGTCTCTTAAAAAATTAAGAAAGCAAATTTTAGCCATTTTTTTGCACAATTTATAAAAGATTTAATAGTGACATAGATACCTTGATACCTAAAGCAATTTTTAGGCACTTAAAATGTGACTGATATTTGGAACTATTGCTTATTTGGCAGAAAGAGTTAGTGATAACTGAGTGCTCAGGAAAATTGTGCTGCTTAATAAATATACCTAACTGTGCCCTACATACCTAACCCTTTGCAGTTGTCTTTGAAAATCTCTGTTTATGCTTTTAATCCTGCTTTTTAATAGGAAACAAAAAATATATATAATGTTTTTGGACTGAAATTCTGTAGTCTAGTGAACTTGCAAATTTGTCAGTTTGACCAAATAATATGTCTGTTTCAGAAAGAAGGTGAAAACACCTTGAGTGATATAGAACTTGAGTGGATTAAAGCCTAACAATATATTATTATCTGGCACAATCCTGCAATAAGAAAGAAGCAATGTGGCCTTTTCACCTAAAATTTCCATTTTTTAGATGATGCTTATTATTTTACCTTGTTCTCCCTCCCCACCATCATTTTGGAAAAATTTGGGACTCTGTTGAACAGAGGAACACAATCTGTGATGGTTAATTTTGTTGGGTTTACGGAGACTTTTGTACGTTAAAAGACCACAGATTTCACCTTTCATATTGCCAGTTGTTATAGCAGCTTAAATTGGTGAAATAGCAACAAAAAACAACAAAAAAAACCCCCCAAACAAACAAAAATGTATGCAGGCAAACTAAAGTAGCTGTATAAATAGGAGTAGGGGGAATGAGTCATTAAGTTGGGGAAAAATAGAATATGGCCCTCAGCAATCAAGAGCATAAAAGACAACACAAGTTCATGTCAGAGTTGAAGAGACAGGCACTGTACCTTTAAGAGGTACACTGTCCTTCCTAAAACTCCTTTTTGGTAAGGGCAGCTGTACTGCAGGTTGGTAGTACAAACTGGCTCACATTGCAGAGTGGTAAATTAGTAGAGACTATCTCCTCTGTAGTAAACCCTATACTATTTAGGGTTTGTCTCCTTTTTGAGTTGCTCATCCTCTTTTTACTTGCCCGGTTAGTTTTAGCCACATCTGTTAGTTACTTTGCTGGCATGTGTAAAAAGCATAGTCCCAAAATTACTATAGTCCTGGACTCTTGATGTTGGACCACCCCTGAAATGGCCATATTGTGAAACTGACACAGCCACTAGCTTTAATAGAGTCCTAAAGTCTAATGATCCCAGACAGACGGCTGCATCATTACATCTGACTGCCCCCATTTTATCCTTTTTCACATGTTTCTCTAGCTCTGTTGTCTCTGATGGAGAGAAGGTAAAATTCTGGATGGCAAAGGAATAAATCTGACATGATTCACTGATGAGAAGAGGAAGATATGAAGGGGATAGAATGTTAATTGGGGCAGAGATGAATTGAGGCATAAATGGGGATAGAGTGCTAGAAAGAGCACAATACATCTGGTGCACAAAATAGAGTACTGGAATGTTTTGCAAGGAAAGGAGTCAGAACAATAAAAAGTGAACAAAATAATTACATTTGGTGTCAAATTATAATGGCAACATGATGCTCGGAGAAAGACCCGAAGCAAGATATTTAAATGTGTGTGGTTTATGGGAAATATACAAAAGGAGAAAATAGCAATGGACATACCAAGAGTTCTGGTAAACCACAGCGAACAAGATGAAGCAACAATTAGTCTCATATAAGATACCCTGAAGAGGCTGGTAGGAGAATGCTACAGAGTAGCTAGAGTTAGTGGTCTCAACCTTTCCAGTCAGGGCATCCCTCTCCAACTTGAATGTGGCAGCACCACTGTTGTTCTCAGCTTGCCTCAGTGGTTCTCAACTGGGTGTCACCATGCTGGTAAAACTGCTCTGCATGCCTACTGTACAGCCAGACGAGGAAGGACTATGGGACAAGTGTGTACCCTCCTGCCTCATTAGAGTTCTCTGCTAGTCCTAAAAGCAGGCAGGAGGGCCAGCTGATACTGCCATCCTTCCCAGTCCAACCCTACACGGTATTTCCTGGAGTCAGCAGCATGCAGGGCAGGTGGAACTGACCCAGGAATTTCTGTTTTTGGAAGGAGCATGGGGTGGGGGGGCACACTGGGAAGGGCTACAGCTTGAGCTGGCTCTCCTGTCTGCTTTAGGGGCTATCAGGGAATCCTAATGCAGGAGGATTGCACATGTGTCACAGCCCTGCACATGGGGCAGTTTTACCTGGCCCACACTGCAATACTTGCAATGTGGCACCCTGGCTGAGAGCCACTGGCTCAGGTAATGTAAAAAGGATAATAGAACTGATTGCAGTGGGGATGATCTAGATAAAGAATCCTGAAAAGGATTCGTAAAAACTTTCTCGTAATCTCTTTATACACCACCTTCTACATAGGTTATTTTACTAATAGGTTATCTCCGCCCCCCACCCCCATATAGTACTGTCGTCTAACTGGTTGAATGAAAAGGCAATGCTGAACTACTTATTTGAGATCTGTCTAACAGAAGCTGGGTGGTGCTTTATTTTTTTTTTTTTATGATTTTAATGTATTTAGGAGGTTTTAAAACTCTTATTTGCAATCATTTTGAAATAATATTTTATACATCACACTTTATATGACAAATATTCAGCTTATTTTTTCCTGACTATTTTAACCCTGTAACAAAACTGGATATATTGTTCTTGGGGATTTCTTTGCAGGAACAGAAGAAGAGGATGAAGGTGATGACCTGTTGTTGGGGTCAGTGGATGAATTCTGGTGGTTTCCCCATATGTGGAGTCACATGCAGCCTCATCTTTTCCATAACGAATCTTCACTAGTGGAGCAGATGATTCTCAACAAAAAATTTGCATTAGTAAGTAACATCTGTGCATTGTGTACTGAGTAGAACTGGGCAGGAGCTGTAATTTTTCTTTTATGGGAAATTCTGTTATTAAAAGATTTGTTTTTCCAGTACCCGAAAATAAATTAAATTTTATATACGGTGAAATGTAAAATAATAATAAGTTTAGGTCAACTGAAACAGTCTGTTACTATAAAACTGAAATCTTTTATTCTGATTTAGGTATTTTTATTATAAGTAATAACTTACAACAGGGCTGTCCATGCAGCAGGGGGAAGCCAAGGAAGAGATGTGCTGCCCAACCACCCAAAGGATTAACATGCAACCTATGGGCTCCTTTCGGTTTGGATGTCAGAGATGCATGCAAGTTTGGTGGTGGGCAGGGTGCCTGTGCTCTATGGTGGGGGACAGAGATGGGCTGCCCACATGGCATGTGGGTGGCACACATGACTGGGAGACAAGCGGGGTGGTACACAGTTTGGTGGGGGAGCCAGGCTGAGCCAGGCAGCCTCTGAAGTACATGTGGCAGGGACAAGGAGGTGTGTTGCACTGCCCATGTAGTGGGAGAGGGGCACACTGGGCGTAGTGGCAGAACTGGGGGAAAACCATGCTGGGGTGCCCATGTGGCAGGAGATAACGTAGGGGGCTGGCCACCCATGGTCTCCAACTGCCTGGAAGCTGGCTTACAGTATCTTTGGTTTATATGTAAAATACACTTTGCCATGAAAAGCTGTAATATTTCACTTCACTAACATTTAAATATTATCAGAATTTTTTTTTATATTTATCTATGAAATTTCATTGGAAAAAAACACGTTTTTTTGAAAGAGAGTATTGGAATGAAGACTTAATTTGATTAATTATAGTCCAAGTCTGCCACATTAGGAATTTTTTAAAGAATTCTCTGCTATGAAATCTAGTAAAACGTTTCATGTTCCCTAGCCCTGTCTGTTATGGCCACAGAGAAAATACCATCTTCATCCTCTCTATAATGAGCCTTCAAGAATTTGAAAACTGATATCAATCCTTGCCTCAGTCTTCTCTCCTCCAGACAAAATAACCCTATCTCTGTCAGTCTTTCCTTACAAGTCATGCTTCCCAGGCCTCTCATCATGTGTGCTGCTCTCTGCTGTATTTTTCCATTCAGTCCAAATGCTTCTTGAAGTGTGGGGCCCAAAACTGGAGATGGTGAGGCCTCATTAATGTTGAGTAGAGTGGAAGAATCATTTCCCTTGATCTGTGACACTCCTATTACTACCACTGAGTGGGTCCATCTACATGAGACGCTACTGTGCAATAGTTACTGGGCATTTATTTAGTACTTGATTATACAAGTACTAAATAAATGCACAGTAATCGGAGTTACTGTACAGTAACACCAGCGAATGCCTTTTTAGTAACACTACTGTGCAGTAGCCTAATAATATAATGCAGTAGTATATTAGCACTGTTTGTGCTGGGACACGCTACTGCATAGTATTATTCAGCTACTGCTCAGTTAGCATCTCATGTAGATGCACCCAGTATGCTGTTGGCCTGTTTTTGCAACAAGAGCACACTGTTGGCTGTTATTCATCTTATGGTATACTGTAATCCCCAAGTCCTTCTCTGTAGTACTGCAGCCTAGCCAATCATTCCCCACTCTCTAATTGTGCATCCAGTTATTTTGTCCCAAGTGCAGGACTTTGCACTTGTCCTTGTTGAGTCTCATCTGACTGATTGCAGGTCATTTCTCTAGTCTATCCAGATCATTCTGGATCCTAGCCCTGCCCTACAGAGCAACTACAGTTCCACCCAACTTGCTGTCATCTGCAAATTTGCTAAGTGTGCACTCAATCCCAACACCCTTTTGTTAATGAAGATGTTACTATCAGACCAAGGACAGACTCCTGGGGATTATGATGGGAGTTTCTCTGCAGAATCCCCCTGTCAGCCTGGAGATTATGACCGCCTCAGTCCCAACATCCTTAACATTAATGAAGATGTTAAGCAATATCAGACTCAGGACATACCAGTGGGGACTTGATGTCTTCTCCCAGCTAGACATTGAGCCATTGATGACTACTTGTTGAGTGCAATGACCCAACCAGTAGTATATCCAGTTGATAGGACTTTTGTCTAGTATGTATTTCTGTTGCTTGTTAATGAGAATGTTATGGAGACAGGGTCAAAAGCCTTGCTGAAGCCAAGAATATTGCATCTACTGCTCTCCCCCATCCACAGAGCCTGTCACCCTATAGAAGGAAATCAGATTGGTCAGGCCTGACTTGCTCTTGGTGAATCTATACTGGCTGTTTCTGATCACCTTGTTCTCCTCTAGGTGCTTCATGGTAAATTCCTTGAGGACCTGCTTCATAATTTTTCCAGGTATTGAGGTCAGGCTGACTGGTCTGTAGTTTCCCATATCCTCCTTCTTCCCCTTCTTAAAGATAGGCACTGTATTTGCCCTTTTCCACTCATCCAGGAACTGAGTTAAATTCCACGAGTTCTCAAAGAGGATAGCAAATGGCTCTGAAATTACTTCAGGCAATTCCTCAGGGCTGCATGACATCCAGCTCTGCCAAATTGAAACTGTAGCTTCTTTAAGTAATCCTTAACCTGTTCTGCCATTACTCTAAGATGTTTGACTCCTTTCCTCTCTTTGCTGCCAACTGCGCTCATCATCTGGTAGCTGCCCCTATCTGTGAAGACTCAAGTAAAAAAGGCATTAAATACTTCAGCCTTTCTGCATTGCCTGTAACTAGAATACCTTCTGCATTCCATAAGGGACCCACAGTTTCTTTAACCTTCCTCTTACTTTTGACATATTTATAGAATCCTTTTTATTGCCTCTCATATCCTGTGTCAGTTGCATCTGAAATCATTCCTTGGCCTTCTTCATTTTCTCCCTACATATCTGTGCGATACTCATATTCTGCCCTGGTATTTGTTTATATTTTTACAGCAAGAATCTGACAAAAAAGTTACTGTAGTGAGAATCTGAGAAGACACAAACAACCATGCAGGCACGAGCAGATTATAGATACGTGCTTGATGTTATTCCGTAATTTGGTTACACACGGTTTTACACATGCATGCCATACATTATTCTGTTCATAGAATTGAATGCTGCTGATTTTGAACTGTGATATTCTGATGTGCAACGCATCTTATTATTTAACATGGGTTAAAACCATATGTATTTTCACTATTTAAGAATTCATTATAGGCTAAATTATGCTTCACCTTGTCACCTTGTGTGGGAGGATTAGATAAGTGATGGCAGAGAAGCACAGGAAGCAGTTCTCTTATAACACATTCATACATGTGCTAGTCATAATTTGGCTCTCAGAGCTGGAAAATATATAGAAAATGAGGTGAAATTAGCACTACTGGAGCCCCAGACAGATTTGTTTTAGTTAGCTTTTCGTGCAAAGAGTAAGCATAAATTGATGTGGTATATTAATAAAATTGATATTCCGAACAAAAATATAAAAGCAAGGTCAAGAGTCCAGCCAAGTCCATCCACCTAGTATGGTTAAAGTGTGGCAGTGACTCCAAGAGAGTGATGTAGTTCTCATAGAATTGTGGAAAAATACAGCTGGAAAGGTTCTTAGGAGGTCGTCTAGACCAGGAGCCCTGTAGCAGGACACTAGGGTGCCTACTACTGAGTAGTAGTAAATGGGTAGCTGCCAGTCAACAGAGCAGCAGCTGGGAGTTGCTAGGGCAACTAATTGGGTCAGCTGACCGCCAGGGGGCAGGGCCTGGCCTTTATAAGCAGAGAAGGCTAGGGCCAGAGGCAGTCTTCCTTGGGCAGCACAAGGAGAAGGAACTCTGTGGGAGTAAACAGAGTCAAGGATAAGGGAGAGATTTGATGGTTGGAGAGTGGCTGTGTATAAGGCGGGGTGGAGGAAACCCTGAAAAAGATACACAGAGATAGCCAGGTTGGCTTGGAGTTGTGTTATAACCCAGGAAAGGGAGTTTTTGGTTTCAGGTTATTGTGTTTAAGACCGGAGGACCGGGCGAGGCTGTAGGGGTGGAGGAGGCCTCAACAGGAGTCCCCCCAGTAAGGTGGGGGTGCTCCGAGCGCCAGGGAGGGTGCTGTAGTTGGCGCGAGAAGCGCAAGTAGTAGCCTGGTGCGGGCTATGTGGGCATGGGGAAGAGACTCCGGTGTGGGCTATTCGAGCACAGGCGAGAAGCGCGAGTAGGCCCAGTGGGCACGAGAAGCGCGAGTAGGCCCCAGTGGGGCATAGGCCCAAGAAGGCAGGTCTGGGGGCCAGGTAAGGCTAAGGCCAGCTGAGCCCCAACTGTGAGAAGCCCGAGTCAGTCATATGACCCTAGAAGGGGTCTGGGGCCAGGTAAGGCTGAGGCCGCCTGAGCCCCGAGCGCGAGAAGCGCGAGCCTAGGCCCGAGCGCGGGCAGGGGCGCGCGAGAAGCGCGAGCCTAGGCCCGAGTCAGGCGTAGAACCCTGCAAGGGGTCTGGGGCCAGGTAAGGCTGAGGCCGCCTGAGCCCCAAGCACGCGAAACGCGAGGAGTGCGGGAAGCGTGAGTAGCAGCCCGAGTCAGGTGAGGAGTGCGGGGCGCGGGCCCGAGTGCGGGTGACCGCGAGACATATGAGAGGTAGGTCCCAGTGGGGCGCTGCCCGGAAGGAGGAAGCTCCAAAAGGGGGTGAGCCCAGTTAGAAGCCCGGTGAGGGCAAGGAGCGCATGAGCACAGAGGAGCAGGCCCCGGGAGAAGGGGCATGCGTATTGAGGAGCAGGCCCCAGGAGAGAGGGGGCACGGATATTGAGGAGAGCCTCTACAGAAGGAACTTTGGCAGGCAACCGGACCAGGCCTGACATAGCAAGGCAGGCACCATGTCAGCACAGAAAGGAAGGGTAGCCTCCCCTAAACTCTTTTTTAAAAAAGATCAAAGAGGTGGCGGACGAGATTGGTGAGGGTCCATTTTGACACCAGCTAGACAGTAGCCAGGGGGCGCTAGGGGAGTTCATGGCACTAGCCCCTACCCCTGTCCTAAACACTGACACGGAGCC